CTTTCGATAATATTTCATTTTCAATTTTCATTTCAAATATTAATTTCTATTTCAAATTGACGTGACAAGTAGAAATTTAAAAATATCGAACGAGACATTCGACAGCCGCGAAAATTATATCGATTAATATTTATCATTTTATCCGCCAGATGTCACTACAGATGTAGCGCGTGTGACATAGTGATAGATAGTGGAGTTAAACGATTTACGAAAACATAACCTATGAAACGTTAAAGTGAAATATTGAATAATTATTGTTAATTCTAATTTATTTGTTCATAGTTAGACAAATTAAATTAATTATATAATACTAATCATTTGTTCAGTAATAATAATGTTTCTAAATTTATATATAAATATTTAGAATTTGTTATTACTTTCATAAGATTAAATAGTTTGAATATAATCTATTTACAAAATTTATCATGAGCAAATACAGAAGAGAAGATTCCTCAAGTGAGGATAGTAATAGTGAAGAAGAAAGACGTAAGAAAGATATCAAAGAGAGAGATGAATTTGCTAATCGTCTCAAAGCTAAGGATGACAGTAAAACACGCAAAGTTGCTATGCCTGCTGGTTCTGGAGCAGGTAAGATTATATCCTTTCAATTTTTTAAAGTATTTACTTTTTTTTAACATTAACATTAAATATATTTGTTTTCTAGCCGAGGCAGCAAAAAGACTTAAACTTATGGAAACTGATGCAAGAGAAAAGCTTGTTCCAAAACTAAGAGTTGAATCTCGAAGAAAATATTTGGAGAAACGTAAAGAGGATAAAGTGGCAGAATTAGAAGCAGACATTATTGATGATGAATATCTCTTCGAAGAAGAAATGTAATTTATTAATTATACTTAATCCGATAGAGAGAGAGAGAGAGAGAGAGTATATTATTATTATTAAGTTAAATTATATTTACAAAATATTTTTTGATGTAGTTTGACAGAACGTGAAAAACGTGAGAGGGAACATAAGAAACAATTATTGCAATTAGCAAAGGAACATGAAAAGGCAAGGGAACTGGAAAGAGTACAAAGGTATCATATGCCATTGGAAAAGAAGAAATTGGAAGCAGAAGAAACCCAACATGATCCAGAACCACCACAATCTGAACAAAGCAAATGGGAGTCAGATCAAATGTCATCTGCAGTATTTAGATTTGGAGCCAAAGATAGAAAAGGTATAATAATAATTATTACAATTAATTATATATCTTTATGTTTTATTAACATATTGTAATTACAGCTCAACAAGATTATGATCTTATATTGGAGGATGAAATAGAATTTATTCAAGGGTTGCATGTACCTGGAAATGAAAAAAGTTTTAAACGTGAACCAAGTCCTTCTCCACAGGCTACAATTTTACAAACGATACAAGAAACTAAAAAGAGTTTGCCAATATATCCTTTCAGGAATGATCTTATTCAAGCTATTAAAGAACATCAGGTATTACATTGATTAATATTTGAAACAAAATACTTATATACGTATTATAATATATAAATAACTCTCAATATATCTTTAATTTAGATTCTAATAATAGAAGGTGAAACAGGTTCAGGAAAAACTACACAAATTCCACAATACTTGTATGCAGCAGGTTTTGCAGAGGATGATAAAATAATTGGTTGTAGTGAGCCTCGCAGAGTAGCAGCAATGTCTGTAGCTGCTAGAGTGGCTCATGAAATGGCTGTCAAACTTGGTAACGAAGTTGGTTATGCAATTCGTTTTGAAGATTGTACATCACATCGTACGCGTATAAAATATATGACTGATGGTACATTGCATAGAGAATTCCTTAGTCAACCTGATTTAGCGTCATATAGGTAATATTTGAAAATAGTTTTCAAATAATATTTTTAAATGTCTATATATTACAAAAATATATTTTATTTACAGTGTAATGATAATCGACGAAGCTCATGAACGTACATTACATACGGATATTTTATTTGGTTTGGTTAAGGATATTACAAGATTTCGTTCAGATTTGAAATTGTTGATTTCTTCTGCAACATTGGATGCAACTAAATTCAGTGAATTCTTTGACAATGCACCGATCTTTCGTATACCTGGTCGTCGTTTTCCTGTAGATATATATTATACAAAAGCACCTGAAGCAGATTACATCGATGCATGTGTAGTCTCTATTCTTCAAATTCATGCAACGCAACCACCAGGAGATGTACTGGTATTTCTAACTGGTAAATATATCCTTCCAATGTTGATCATTGGAATTATATGACTAAAAACAAACACTAATTAAAATATTCATGAAATTGAACTGTTGTAAATCAACTAGTAATTTTTAAAAAAATGTTGATTAGGTCAAGACGAGATTGAGACTTGTCAAGAAATGTTACAAGAAAGAGTTAGAAGGCTAGGAAGTAAATTGGCTGAACTGTTGATATTACCTGTCTATGCCAATTTACCAAGTGATATGCAAGCTAAAATATTTCAACCTACTCCAGCTGGCGCTAGAAAGGTATTTTATTTTATTTTATTTTTTATTATCTTCGTGTTATTTTTATAATTTACTTTACACATTATTTTTTTATTAACAGGTGGTTTTGGCTACTAACATAGCAGAGACGTCTTTAACCATTGACAATATCGTTTACGTGATAGATCCTGGATTTGCAAAACAAAACAATTTTAATGCACGAACAGGAATGGAAAGTTTAATGGTTGTTCCGATTAGTAAAGCTTCTGCGATGCAGCGTGCAGGTACATTGCAATTGTGTTGTAATTATATGCAATAATCTCGTAGAGTAAAAGAAATTAAATGAAAATGAAATCTTTACTCTAATGAAGTGTTATACAACTTTTAAATGTTATTTAATTTATCGTATTTATTGGCAATTTTTAAATTGATTTTTTATGAAATATATGCAGGTCGTGCTGGAAGAGTAGCACCTGGTAAATGTTTTAGGCTTTATACAGCATGGGCATATCAAAACGAATTGGAAGATAATACTGTACCTGAAATACAAAGGATAAATCTTGGTTTGTATTCAATCTATAATTTTATATAAAATTACTCTCTTTCATCATTATTAATAATAATAATAATAACTTTTTTAGGTAATGCAGTACTCACGTTAAAAGCTTTAGGTATCAATGATTTAGTTCACTTTGATTTTCTTGATCCACCACCCCATGAAACATTAGTATTAGCTTTAGAACAACTGTATGCTTTGGGTGCGTTAAATCATCGTGGCGAATTAACTAAACTTGGTCGAAGAATGGCAGAATTTCCTCTTGATCCGATGATGGCTAAAATGTTATTGGCCAGTGAACGATATCGTTGCTCAGAAGAAGTAGCTACAATAGCTGCTATGCTTTCCGTTAACGGAGCTATTTTCTACAGACCTAAGGATAAAATTATACACGCTGATACTGCGAGAAAAAATTTTCACGTACCTGGTGGCGATCATCTTACTTTACTCAATGTTTATAATCAATGGCAACAAAGTGATTTTAGTACACATTGGTGTTACGAAAATTTTATACAGCATAGGTACGAACTTTTAATTGATGAATTTTTCTTTCTAATTTGAATTTGTTCTTTTACATCGTTCTGACAATAGATTTTTTATTTGATTAGATCGATGAAACGAGCTAGAGACGTTAGGGAACAATTAATTGGTTTAATGCAACGAGTTGAAATGGAACTTGTTTCGGGCATTACGGAAACAATTAATATTCGAAAAGTATGTAACCATTTTAAATTATTAATGTATAGATTATTTTGATATTATTTTATTACATTTATTTTTCAAATATATTTTAGGCGATCACTGCGGGTTATTTTTATCACGTTGCACGTTTGTCAAAAGGTGGCCATTACAAAACAGCGAAACACAATCAAACGGTATCCATTCATCCAAATAGTTCACTATTCCAAGAACTTCCACGATGGTTACTTTATCACGAATTAGTATTTACGACGAAAGAATTCATGCGTCAGGTATTTTATGAAAACTACTTTTTAATTGATCGTATTTATTGACATTTTTATATTAATTTTGTATTAAATATATATATATATATATAGGTAACAGAAATAGAAAGCAAATGGTTATTGGAAGTTGCACCGCATTATTATAAACCCAAAGAATTAGAAGATTCGACCAATAAAAAAATGCCGAAAGTTGTTGGCAGAACTCGACCAGATGGTACTAATTAAATGAATAGATTTAATTAATAGGTAAAATACTTTTTGTACAAATGAAACGTTTATATATGTCAAAATATAAAATAACAATCCATCACGATCCAACAATATTTTACTACGCCTATTAAAATCGTAGTAATAATAAATGTAATCTACCTCTCCTTAGTATATATACTAGAAACATATTATTTTAAAAAGAGAATATAAATAGGAAGTACTAGAATAGAAAAATTGATTAAACGATAATGAAACGGATTCGTAAGAACTTTATCAATTTTTAAATATATTTTTCATTATTTATACAATAATATTGTAATTATATACGTGATACTCCTTCTAGTAGGCAAAGAAATTGAATGAAAATAAAATCTTTATTCTAATGCAATGTTATAAAAATTTACTGATGGTATAGCTAGAGAAAGAGAAAGAGAAAAAAAAAAAGAAAGAAAGACAGGATAATTACTGACTGTATATTGTGATATAAATCATACAGTACATAGAACAAGACGATGATAACTACAGCCTGCATTTATTATATGAATAAAGAAACCCTTCTTGTGGTGTTAACAAAGAAAATCAAAGACATATATACGTATGCATGAATAAAATATAATAATAGGAAGAAGATAGAATTCACATATATTATCGACAAATAATTTGCATAGACTTTTATTTACTATTTCTATAGTATTTTGATTTTCTATCATGAATGCCGAAGATGAATCATTTTTGGAATATAAATTTCATTTTAATATTGCAATCTTATCGTGATATTTACAAGGCAAATATTTAATTTATAAAAATAATTAACATTAATTAGAAGAATGCATACTCTTCCATTATCGTTTGCCCTTTTAACTTGCGTTGGTTTTTGGCGACCAATTAATTGGTCAGCGAATTCTTTTAAATATTGGATATATAACATATATACGATTTTTATGGTATCCATGCTTTATGCATTCACATTTTGTGGACTTATGGATGCTTTGATTGATCATCATTTGGATAATTTACTTGAAAAATTTTCATTATTTATATCCGTCATCGGTGTGTGTATCAAAGTGACGAACGTTTTAATTAATCGACAAAATATTATTTCTGTTACTAATATGCTTTTAAATGAGCAATGCATTCCTCGCGATTCGGAGGAGTTGGCAATCAAACAAAAATTTGATCAAAATGCCAGGTGAGTATTAATGATAAGTAAATATTGTACGTTGCAATCAGACGCCAGTAGTAAAGTTGTTGTATGGTCAGACATCTATTACAATCACATTTTATAATATCCACCTATTTTAGAAAATTTACAAATTATTAATTATTGCAAATAATTGTGTGTAGTTTTGAAAGATATATTAATTTAAAATATATATATGTGGTGATTGCAGTTATATTATTAATTAAATAAAAGATATTTCGTAATACATGTGACCCATTTCAGGAGTCACAAACCGAAAATAATTATTGGATTATAATTTTAAAACAAAATCTAATAGAACACATTTTTATATAAACTTTTTTCTTTTTTTCATTATTCTTGTATCCCCTATTTTAAAATAGGTCCCACGTATTACGAAACATTTTGTATATTAGTACATAAAAAAATAAATGTAAATTATGTTACTTTAGAGTAATTACAATTTATTGCGAAATTTTGAACGAGACAACCGTGTTCTTTGCAACGGTAGCACAATTTGGTAAATTCTTAGAAACTCGTACTTTACCACTTGCCAATTGGACACCATACGATCATACCTCGAGTACTATGTTTTGGATAACTTTATTACACCAAACCTTTGGTCTGATGGTGTGTGCTAATTCAAGTGTTGCTCATGAGACTATAATATCTGGACTGATGATACAAATTTGTGCACAATTGGAAATACTTTGTCATCGGGCTAGAATATTACCAATGTTGCTAGAAAAAGAACAGAAAAATTGTACCTCTGAAAAGGATTTAAAGAGAATCGAAAATCGAGTTATCGGTGAATTGATCGAATATCATCTTTACGTTTATAAGTAACAAAATAATAATATAATATAATATAATAATTATTAATATTTAATATTAATATAATATAATATAATAATTATAATGTGTTTTCACATTCAAATATTTATAATTTTGTTAGATTTATTAAAGTTCTCATTTGTTCATTAAATTTTTAATGTAATGTTTTTTAAATTTATTAATGTATATATCATATTAATTTGTAGAACATTATTATATAAAAAATATTTGATTTTAGGTTCGCTCAAAAAATCAACGACGTATTCACTTTGATGATATTCATGCAATTTACTTTAAGCTCAACCGTACTGTGCATGAGCGTTTACAAATTATCAACGAAGGATTTAATAAGTTTTGATTTTCTTTGGACATTTTGTTATCTCGCTTGTATGCTCATTCAATTATTTCTTTATTGTTGGTATGGTAATGAAGTTACATTGAGGGTAAATATTTTATTTAAATAAAATAATCTGATTTAATTAGAATTTTTCTAATGAAATTTTATATTTCTATTTTTTAGAGTAAAAAAATTGGAGATGCATTTTACGGAATGAATTGGATATCATTAAAAACAAGAGTAATTAAAAGTTTAACCATAATAATGGCAAGAACAACGAGAAGCATTGAAATGAATAGTTTACATATAGTTAAACTTTCAGCTAAATCATTTATGACTGTAAGTATGTAAATAAGAACAATATTATTAAGACTATTTTAATAATTGAATATTATTAATTTAATTATTTCATTTCAGATAATTAAAGTTTCATATTCTGCTTATAATGTTTTACAGACCTCGTCGTAATACAAAATTATTATATTTATAAATACAAATAT